CGTTGGGCTGTCCCACCACGGACGTCGTCCACCAGAAGGCTCGGTTCTCGGAAGTGTTTGGGATCAGCTGGCAAGCGTGTTACTTTGCATCTTCTCTGTATCTCATCTGGAGTATGTCGAACTGGTGCTCGCGCCTTCCCGGTATGACGCATTGGTATGCTCGACATATGCACAGATGCTGAACAGACTGGAGATCTATACCCAGGACATTTGTAAATGCGAGGACTTTCTGGTCGGAATGGTACAAGCAGTGCGGCTGGATCGTGTTCATGTCTTTCTGTCTGCTGCACCTTCTGACCCTTATGTGCTTCAAGATCGACCCATGTTAGACCTCTGCTGGTCATGGGATGAAGTAGTCAGGAGATACTTTCCACGCCTGGATAATCTAGGGGTCTTGCATACATAGTCCGCCTAGCTCAGTCGCAATTATTACTCCATTGACTCGTATATAACGTAGCAAGGCCAAAATTTCGAAGCGTTCCCATCAGGTCTCGCACGCCTGGTGCAGACTGTTTCGCCCTCATCTCTTCAGCATTCTTGAGATGAAGAGCGAGGAGTGCTGAGCGATCCACGGTATATCGCGATTCCTACTTTCAGCTTGGAGAGGATATAATCTCACCATCATTGACGAGACGAGCTACTTCCTACTCTGAATCCATTGGTACTCTATGGAAGTCGAATAGGGATTTTGGAATGGCGACAACGACAGCTGCGTATATTTTTGTTCATGTCGTAAAATCTATCGTACAATGGCGGCGTGTATGGTGAAGCTTGGCCTACTCACCGAACCTCCCTCGTCGATTCGCAAATTACTGATGGCGGTGACTCGAACAGAGAGACGTCTTCATTCTCGGGACTGGTCCGTCGTTCTACCCTCGCTTCTACGTCTGCACCGGTTTCTAGTTCTTTGTGGAATGTGGCGTTCAGAAGCAGGCTTTCGTGCTTTCCCTGACAGGATTATTGTACCACCCAATCGTTGCTGTACAATACAGCCCCAGTACATCGGACGGAGGATACTTGTGGCCAACGCTGTTCAGTTCGTACGAAATGGATTAGATGGCAGCGTAAACCGAAAGGTGCAGAGCTGAAACCGAGGTTATTCTGCTATCTGCTGGATAATGCCTTCATGTAGACACACCACGCTCTGAAGAAACTCTGCATGAGCGACACAGAGACTGCAATTGGCTGTGTGTCGTTTTTCGTATCGCATCGTATACATCACCTCGCTTTGTTGCTCTACCCCTAGAAGCGGCTGAATGACCACTGGAAACACCAGGCAAAATCTCGATGTTCCTCGGCACCCTGGAGCATAGGATGAGAAATTGGCAGTAGCAAGCCTCGAAGAACGTATCGTGATGTTTCTCAGTTCAAGTGGGCTGGCCAGCTTGGCATACTACAAGCTTACGATGCTCAGGCGCATGATATCGCCTTGCACGACGCAAGCTTTCCCTTTTAGATGGCCTCGTGCAGCTTTGCCATTGGTGCGCTGTCTCCGGGCCGTACGCGATCTCGTAAGCAAGTCGTCTATAAACGCATTGGGCGTCACACGGAGGTCGGCGTAGGGATAGTTGCAGTCCGCAACTATATCGGGTGACCTGAAATGTTACACTACGCCTCAGCTCAGTGGTGATAGTAGGCACAAAGCTACAGGGCTTCGAGAGCCGCGCAGTACCACCCATAGTAAGTACTCGGTATCGTGAAGACGTTTTACAGGGTGTACGTGGCTGTCCGGCTGCGAGCGCGCCGCTACAAATGAGGACAAGTTCATCAGCATGGTTTTATCAGTTACTCTGCCCGAAAAATGGGCCGACGCGATATGCTTCCATATCGTTGTATAACTCACGGGTCTTTATCTCTGTCCAACGCTTGTTTTCGGAGCTCGACGCGTCCTTGTCTCATCGTAGTCGAAAACTACCACTCAAACCCTGGAAAATTCACAAAGTAGTTCCGTCGCACTTACCCGTTTGCGGTCGTCCGACGCGGTTGATTGAAAGCGCGTCGCGGTTAGCCGCTTTGGGGTCGGGGCACTTTTGTTCCGCAGCTCGGGTTAGGGTCGCGGCGCCTTCAGGGCACAGTCTCGTGCGCAGAGCTCTCTGGTTACGATAGCCAGCATGGCTGGTATTCTCTGGATATTTACTCTCTCTCTGGGCCTGAGTGCCCTCGCTCGGAATAAAACTCTCCAAGTGAACTTGAACTCTCAAAGCTGGGAGCTTTCCGTAAGTACACGAGTGTGTATACAGGCTACGTCAGGCTAACCTTCTTTCAGTCGTTAACCAGGCCAGGTGAGTGCTATTGATCAGAGACGGAGAAGAAACGGTTCCAAACTACCATCAGAGGAGTGTCCACCATGCTTCAACTGCAAACTGCCGGCATTCTCGTGTGGGAACTTCGGGGAATGTTCAGACTATGATGGACAATGTAAATGTCCTCCGGGATGGGCTGGGATCGACTGCTTAACTCCTCGTACGTTGCAATCCCCTGCTAGTTGGGCTTATCTTACCGCCTGCAGAATGTGATTCTCTCGCGGATGGCGAAAAACGGCGGCAGCGCGAAGAAGGCCAACCCTGCGACTGCAAGGACGGCTGGAGTGGTATCAACTGCAACGTCTGCAAAACCGACGCAGCATGTGCCAACTTTCCACTTCCACTTCTCCCTGGAGAGTCCCGCGAACCTAACGACGATTCTGCACTAAACATGACTTGCTACAAGGGTGGAGAGACGGTGTTCCAGAACCACCAAATGTGCGACGTCACCAATCGCAAGATTCTCGACATGTTACCGGAAAGGCCACCCCAGATCACTTTCGGCTGCGACAAGACCTCAGATACCTGTCAGTTCCAGTTTTGGACTGCTCAAGTCGAGTCGTTCTACTGCGCGCTTGACAAGTGTACCTCCGGAATGGATGTTGGCCCTAACAAAAACACGACGAAATACGAGTGCGAGAACATTCAGTGCAAGTGTATTCCCGGACGGTTCATCTGTGGCGAAGACGGCAGTATTAGTGAGTACATCAGTTATCCATCCTTGTTGCATTCTAACTCATACTGCGTAGATATCGACGAGTTCCTGAGGGATGAGATCAGAGGTCCGGCGGCTTTCAGTTGCACGACTGGCGATGGGTGTCGATTTGAGGAGCCTGCGATGAACGACCTTATCGAAACGATCTTTGGCGACAGTTACATTACCTTGCAATGCCACGGCGGCGAGTGTCTACACTATTCTCAAGTTCCGGGATATGTCGTACGTGCATCTCCACTACCTTATAGCGCACTTTCTGATATCTTTCTCACAGAAGCCACCGAAGCCGGACACGACTCGCTTCGTCGCACTTAGCGTCGCAGTAATCGGCTTAGTCGTGCTGTTGATATCCGCCGGTCTATGGTACGCCAGTCGCACGCACTCGGGCGACTTTGGCGGTATTCGTCTGCCAGAGACTGAGTCGGCCAGACTGATGACGGATCACGTTCCAGCCTCGCTGCATTTCTCGGATATCTCATACTCGCTCGGGAACCGCAAGATCTTGGACGGCGTCTCCGGATCCGTACACCCAGGGCAGCTGATGGCAATCATGGGCGCGTCCGGCGCAGGCAAATCCACTTTCCTCGATATTCTTGCGCGCAAGAACAAGCGTGGAGCTGTCAGCGGCCGCACCCTCGTCAACGGGCGTGAGGTTCCCAATGCGGACTTTAAGAAGATCATGGGCTTCGTCGACCAGGAGGACACGCTCATGAGCACGCTGACGGTCTATGAAACCGTGCTCTATTCTGCACTCCTGCGTCTTCCGCGCGAGATGAGTCTGGAGGCGAAGAAGTTCAGGACGCTCGAGACGCTCCATGAGCTTGGCATCCTAGGCATCAAAGATTCCCGTATTGGAGATTCAGGACGCCGGTCGATCTCGGGTGGTGAAAAGCGACGAGTGTCCATCGCCTGCGAACTTGTTACCAGCCCTTCGATCCTATTCCTCGACGAACCGACGTCCGGTCTCGATGCATATAACGCCCTCAGCGTAATCGACAGCCTTGTCTCGCTCGCTCGCGACTACAACCGCACAGTTGTTTTCACCATCCATCAGCCCCGCAGCAACATTGTTTCCTTGTTCGACAAGCTGGTGCTGCTTTCGCATGGCAAGCTTATCTACTCCGGCGATGCGTCAAAGTGCTACGAGTACCTGGAGAATATCGGAAAGCCTTGCCCAGCAGGGTTTAACCTTGCGGACTACTTGAGTGGGTATATATGTCGCTTCTGCCGTCGCATCTTGCTCACCTGTGTCAGTTGACATGACTGTCTTGGCAAGCATTGAACCTCGCTCGCTCGACAGTCCAGCCACCAACCCTGAGCTGTCGGAAGGCGAGACGGACCGTCGGGACGAAGAACAGGCTCTGCCACCTTCTGGCTCCACGCCCTTCCCTTTGGCAGGCCGTCAGGCGTCCGGCACTGAAGAGACAGAGCTTCAGACGCGCAGTACGACTGCGGTCGGGACGTCGAGCAACTTTATCAAGCGGAAGACATCACAGCTTCTGGAAGCTATCTCGCCCACGCGTCTCAATGACGCGCCTATCTCACCGAAGCTGGCCGAGCTAGTGGACGCGTATTACAAGAGTCCATTGTATGCGCAGCTGCAGGCGGAGATTGCAGAGATAGAGACTCGCAGTGACCTCGAGTCGGAGCTGCCGGACGTCGCGCTCGAAAACAACCTTACGAGGGGACGACAGCGTGCAAGCTGGGGGACGCAATTCCGTATCCTGAGTGGACGGGCGTTCAAGAACCTGTACCGCGACCCAGCGTTGTTGGCTGCGCACTATGTCGCTGCTATTGCCGTAGCTAGTGAGTTTGCTCTTGATATTGCTCTGTGTTGCCGCTCATCGATTTGCTAGTCATCTGCGGCATCCTGTTCTACCACTCAGGCAACGACATCCCCGGCTTCCAAAACCGACTGGGCGTGTTCTTTTTCACGCTTGCACTGTTTGGGTTCTCCTGCCTGTCAAGTCTGTCACTCTTCGCGAACGAACGCATCTTGTTCATGCGTGAACGGGCGAACGGATACTACTCGCCGCTGACGTACTTCTGCGCGAAAGTATTCTTCGACATCCTTCCGCTCCGTGTCGTGCCGCCAATGGTATTTGGCTCGATTATTTATGGCCTCGTCGGGCTGGTGCCGACGGTTCCGGCGTTTTGGAAGTTTATGCTCGCACTTGTGCTGTTCAACCTGACGACGGCAAGTATCATCTTGATGTTGTCAATCGCATTTGCGAGCGTGAGCGTCGCGAGCTTGGTCGGGACGCTCATCATGCTGTTCAAGTGAGTCTTCCTGATGAGTCGGATGGCTATCAGGCGCTGATGTGGCTCGACAGCCTGCTGTTCGCGGGTCTGCTCGTGAACCGAGAGACTCTGCACCCGTCGCTGCAGTGGCTGCATACAGTGTCATTCTTCCATGCAGCGTACGAGGCGCTCGCAGTGAACGAGTTGCGGTACCTGCAGCTGAAGCAGACGAAGTACGGCGTCGAGCTCGACGTACCCGCGGCAACGATCCTGTCGCTGTTCGGCTTGAAGGCCAGCGTACGTCCTCAGTCATCCCTCTCGCTTTCAATGGCTGACGTTGTGGTTTTGCAGTCGTTTTGGTGGCCTGATATCGGCCTGCTCGCCATCTTCTTTGGCTCGACGCTCATTGTGAGCTACCTCATCCTCCATTTCTACGTCAAGGAGAAGCGATAGCCCTTCCACGTACCGGGATCGCTTCACTGTACCATACAGCATGCTCCTGTGATGGATTGCCTCGTATGTACTACCACCCTATACCTCTCGAAAGGTGCTGCCCTTCGATTTTGTGATGTACACGTTTCCTTCTATACATGTTGTATGCGTCCCGTTGTTCTCGCGTTATTCTGCACACGGCACCGCCTGCGGTGCGTTTATAGCTCAGAACTATATATAAAACTTCCATTTCATACTGTAATGCGACTTGCCCCTTCAATCGTAACTAGATCCCGTAACTAACATGTTGTCCTTGTGCTAGCGGAAAATCCGCATGACCGTGGTAGCGAGTTTACGACTAGCTGAGATAAGACGGCTGACGTGACAGAAAAACCCTAACCTTGATAGTATAGCCACCTCGTATCCCACGCATTCATTCACCGCTGTATCTCTTGTCTATCCCGGCGAGCACGACTTCTTCGACGACTCTCACCACCTTGGGCATAACTCAAAATCTTTTGAGCCACCACAACTCTCTTTTCTGGAGCAAAAGACATCAAATCGTCGTCGGAAATGCTGCCTGCAGCAGATCATCCCCTGTGCAAAGCAGCGGGCCAAACCATAAAGTTATCTCTCGGCGGCTCTCAAGCGCAGCCAGGACTGTTCACACACTTCCGGCATGTACTCACGCCGCTGCGATATGCGCAATCACGCTAGACTTGTGCCACATTGTAACTGGTCTGACAAATCTCAGTCAGCTTACAAACACTCCTGTTGTCAAAACAAAGGGGCGGGGTTTGCACATAGTCTGTGGTATCACTCGCACCATCTAGGCCAGGAACGATGAGCACATTCCTTACCCATCGAACGTCATGGAAGATTGGGGCCGTCGCGGCTTTGACTTTGGCGTATTTATATCGTGCAGGTTTCACGTTCTCCAGCACGATCTTCCCTTTCCAAACTACCACGCACGACGCCCCCCACGTAGCTGATATGTCCACTCAGAAAGCTCTGTACCTCCTCGAGCCGAAAGGCAAGTTTGCCGTACAAGAGCGCGATATCCAGGAGCCTGGTCCTGGCGAGGTCCTCGTCGAGATTCACGCCACCGCGCTCAACCCGGTTGACTGGAAGATTCAAGCGTTCGACTTCGCCATCAAGGACTACCCCGCCATTGTCGGCACGGACTCCGCGGGCATTGTCAAGAAGGTCGGTGCGGGGGTGACCAACGTCGCGGTTGGCGACAAGGTGTACGTGCACTGCTTATATGCGCGACGGTCAGGTGCTGACAACTCGCAGACTCCACCAGGGATTCTTTGACAATCGCCGCGCTACGTTCCAGCAACACACCGTCGTGCCCGCAGAAATTGTCGCCAAGGTAGGTCGCCTGAAAGCTCAGCCTTCAATGCGCAATCTGATGGCTTTTTAGATCCCACCCAACCTCAATTTCGATCAAGCTTCGACCATCCCGCTTACACTCGCCACCGCCGCTGTTGGCCTGTACAATGACAAGAAAGGGGGCGGCATCGACCTCGACGCTCCTTGGGAGGAGGGCGGCAGCAACAAATACGCAGGCGAGCCCATCCTTGTCATCGGTGGTTCTTCTGCTGTCGGACAGCACGGTACTCCTCGCTCCTAAGTCCATGTCTCGCCAAATGCTGACTATATGCACAGTAATTCAGTTTGCGAAGATATCTGGCTTCTCGCCTATCATTACGACGGCTTCGAAGCAGAACGAAGCGTACCTCAAGTCGCTCGGCGCGACGCACGTCATCGACCGCAATGCGCCGCTGGCGGATCTTTCTGCCTCAGTCAAAGCGATCACGGACAAGCCAGTCAAGGTTGCGTACGACGCGATCTCGTTTGCCGATACGCAGAACGCCGCATACGACGTCCTCGCGTCCGGCGGCAAGTTCGTAGTCGTACTCAACGAAGCAATCGAGAAGGACAAGATCACGTCTGACAAGGAGGTTGTGCATGTGTATGGCAACGTCCATATGCCCGTGAACCGCGAGATTGGGAAGAGCCTGTATGCCAAGCTGACGAGCTTGCTCGAGGCTGGCGACATCAAGGTGCCCCTCATGGAGATATTCGTGTCGCATCACTCTGTACTGATTCTGTTCCCCAGCCGAACAACGTCGAAGTTCTCCCTAATGGACTTGCAGGAATTCCTGAAGGATTGGAGAAGCTAAGGAAAGGTGTAAGCGCGCTGAAGCTGGTCGCTCGGCCCCAAGAGACTGCTTGAGGCGCAACTCGGAGCCGGAGAATAATATTAACCAAGGTGTATTAGTACTGTTTGCATTTAATTGCAATGTGGCGTTGATAACAATAAAATTGTAAAGAGGACCAATGTGGATAGCTAGCTTAACCACTCCAATACCCGATGTCAAATCTGGCCTATCACAACACGCGAGGCTACGTCTCGAGCCAAGTCCATCTTCATTGGTAAGTAGTAGCACACGTTGTCTTGCACAGCCTCCTTTCTTTGCACAAGACATTCCAGGGCATCAATTCTTGCCAAGGATGGTGCGGAATGTCGTCTTCTGGACCTACAGAAGACTTTCAGCGACTGCAGCGAGCGTCACTTAGATCGCCAACACGTACCCCAGGTTCTCGCGGCCAGGATTGTTGAACGTGCATCATGACATGCTCAGCCGGATATCCAAGCAGGAATGACAGAAAGGGGACGCACATGTATCCGCGGTTATCAGGGATCGATAAATTGGAAGAAGGCCTTGCTGTATTGCTCGTTCACGTCTTCCGGGACTTTGATACTGTCCAAGATCAGCTGCAAAGGTGCGCGTTTCATGTGGTATCAGCGCATTACACGAGTTGGAGAGGACTGAGCAGTACGCACGACATCCAGGAGAAAGCACGGATCGAACTTCCCGTCCCACGCCATGTGCTCATTGTACGTGTAACTTACGACGATGCAGTGCAACGGCCTCGTCAGTGTCTCCGCTGCGAACTGTCCCAAACCGCTCTCATCAGCCACTGTATAATCAACACTGAATCGCGAGGACGTACAGTGGAGAACTCCTCGATGAACTTCTTCGGGTCATCGAGCTTAACGTTTGCCCTGATCTCAAGAGATGGCATGCTGTGTGTGTGCGATGGAACGAAAGGAGGCAGGTTGGAGATGAGAAAGTGAAGGTGAGGCTGTCGAGTGTGCAGAATATATACAATTCACAAATCACAAGGTCAGCAGCTCATACTCTCTGAGCTTTCCACCACTCGTAGGCATCATTTTCAGTGCAGCCAGACGTGTCCGAGAGCGACATTGAGAATATTGAACGCATTTTAGGGCGCCTACAGGGCGCTGTACCTGACCCGCATACGCCGGGATCTGCCGATTGCTCGCAAGCATTCCTTGCCCAAATAGGGCAGCTTCGTCCTGGCAAGAGGGCGCTTCGCTTGGTCCGCTTGGTCGGATCTAGACGCCCATTCGACCAAAGCGACCAAAGAACCCTAACCCGAGCCCACTTTAGCTAAGGCCTCGCATAGTGGTATCCCGACTGTCTTCCTCCCCATTGTATACCTTAGACTATTGTATCAATATGATATTGTTATCTTATGAGCTGCAAACAATGCAAAGTGTTGAAGCGCCTAGTGGCTCTGGCTCGGCGTTCCGCCCGGCACGGACTTAAGGTGGACATCTTAGATTAGGCGCTGCTAATACGTAGATAGTGATTGGACAATCATATGTAGTGCTCCCACGCACGGACCTCTTTATGGCAGGCTTCCCCATTCTAGCGGACTTTCAATTTGTTTCCTTTTAGTATATAAGGACTCCTCTCGCATCCCCACTCTGCGTGCTCTTTCCCTTCGCACTCAGAGTAAGTCCCTTCGTCGCCCTTGCGCAGTATGCACTCATGCTTACGCCCTGTATAGACTAATCCCCCATGTGTATTAGGTTAGATCTATACAGTGTGCTCTTTCCCTTCGCACTCAGAACTAATCCCCCGTGTGTATTAGATCGTGCCCGCGTGCCACTCGCCAGTTCGCGCTCGCGCAGCCCAGTAGTCGTATCACGACAATAGGTTATTCTACCCTCCATCCCTCACGAGTCTTCACTCGGAGAGATCCGGCACCAGCCGCACATTTGCTCCATAACACCTCAGGGTCTTTACCCCAAGTGTTACTCCACATCGCAACACGGACACTAGAGATCCTCTAGTGCATGTCTAGTCCATCTGCATCACGCCCACCTTCACCAACTGCACCGACACCTGCACCTGCACCTGCACCCCGTCCTACACGTCGCACTCCCGCCACTCCTACTACACCCTCTCAATCCC